ATACATGTACAAAAATTAAATAAATATAATTTATTAAAACAAACAATAACAACAATACTTAAACACAAATATACCCAGATTTATTAGTTGCCGTTTTTCTCACTTTTAATTCTGCAAACTCGTCAATTAGTTTGATATAATTAATAGAGCTATTTAATAACTCATTTTCTATTAATTTTTGTTGGCCTAATGTGGATATTTAAAATTTTTTATTCTGGCCATTACTGAGAATGATCTTTCACCGCTTGCATATCTTATTGGAAGGGTTAAATAAATTTTCAAAATTATGTTAGGGAATGTTGCAATAAATTTATTTTCCCGAATAAATGACCATGGATACAGGCGCAATAATATTTTCTTTACTTATAAAAGTCTTAAATTGTAATACTTCATTTTCAGTTCTGCTAGGTTTAAATTTTGTTCATAACATTTTAATTCCTCTATTGAAGAATTACCAACATCACTATCATGAAAAATTGTTTTGATACAAACCTAATTTTCGGGCTCCAGGCACGTTTCTAGTGTGCCTAGGCCTTAGTCCGCCCCTGGGTAGAGAATTTACTTCTTAAACCTGAGTTTTAAGCTACCCTAAATGTTAACTTATTTACCAATCAACTGACCTAGGAATAACTTTGTCCACGCTTTTTATCATTGTATTTTTATTTTACTATGAAAAAGTCAAAATACAGTAAGTTCACATTCGACAAACTCAGTAATATTAGATTGCAACGACAGGATGCTCATTAGGAATTGATTGAGGCTTTCACGGCTGCCGTCCGAAGAAACTGAATTTCCGGATTCTAACCGTATCTTATTGCGTAAATTTTACCCAACTCGAATGCTTTCTGTAACTCTGAACCATACCCTGTAATTGCGACTTCCAATATAGGGTGTTTCTGAAATAAGTGCCGAGTTCCAGCAATACCACCTAGACTATCAAGGCCAGGGCTCTCTAACGTCAACGAGTTAATTAGTCATCATAAGAAGGCGGTTAATCAATTAACTGCACTCATTTTGCATACATTCATAAGCTAAAGGTTTCTCCCAGTGTTACCTCATTTAATTAAGTTTTATCTAGTTTTACCTGGCCTTTACTTGATCATAATTTATATCAATTGTTTTACGTATCTACTCCTCCTAACTTCCGTTTCTGTCTCTAATATCCCTTTGACTAGACCTTCATGCCTGAAGAGTCCTCTGTTCTCTTACCCTTTCTAATATCCCTTCATTTCTAACCTTCTCTATTCACGGTATCCTCATCATTTGCCTGTAACACCACATTACGAACGCTTCTAGCCTTTTCTTTTCCTCCGCGCCCACCGTCCATGTGTCACACCCGTACAGCGCCGTGCTCCAAACATACACCCTTAAAAACCTTTTTCGAATTTGTAAATTAATATTCGTTTCTCTCGCCGCCTTTAGTATTGCTCTGTCTTTTTACCTAACCTATCCCGCGTTTCTTTACATTTTTGTTTTCTAAATCAAGACGTTTCCTACCTTCCCTCTTTTTCAGAATTTTCAATTTAAGATTGGTTTTCATACTTAACTAAGTTATGATCGCTATCTATATCTGCTCCTGGAAAACTCCTATAGTTCTTCACTTGATTTTTAAATCTTTGCCTAGCAAGTATGTAATGTAACTAATACCTCCCTAAATCACCTGGAATCTTCCACGTATAGCGCCTCCTAACGTCATGATTGAATAAAGTATTCACGACGGTTAAGTTATGTTTATCGTAAAATTCTATCAGCTTATCTCCCCTTTCATTTCTATTACCTACTCCAAAAGAGCCTGTTATTGCACCCACTTTACTGTCACCTATTACTGCGTTGAGGTCTCCTACAACTATTAAGTTTTCCTGCCCTCTTACTAAACTTAATACGTCTTCTATATCTGCATAAACCGCTTCTACGTCTTAATTATCTGCCGAGGTAGTCCCCGCCCGGACATCCGAATGGGGAACTAGTTTACGTCCGGAGCGCTTTACCCCAGAGGACGCCATCATTTAATTGTGTGGTACGTTCTTCTTTGGATCATAATGTGGTGGTTCCCCTTGACTTTCACGTCGCAGTATTGTGCATTAGAGTGCCATACCAATTCTCGTGAGCTCTGCCACCCTCAGTACTTTCAGGGATTTGTCTTAGTCTGGTTTCTCTTTGAGAACCCCCCCCCTCCATTATGGCTGAATCTATGGTCCGGCTCCCTAAATCATCGAAACTCGCAAGCCGATCCACCCACTCTAGTTTGTACAAGAGTTTTGTCAAGGTCAAAAACATTTTAATTACTTACATTAATAATTTAAATTTGGAAGACAAATTTAAACAATATCACATGTAATAGTTATATTAAATGTCATGCGATCTCGTAGCCCCATGAACCACTTACCAATACTATTATCCTTTTAGCTATTTTACAATAATAATATGTACCAGAACTGTCCAAATGACAGTGGACTACATAAATAACTATTTGTTAAAGTATGTCTAATAAACTCATAAGTTAGCATTTTTCGGGTGGTCCTGTATTGCCGGTACAGATATTTCATTCCTTCGGTTTCAAAATGAACCTGATCCCATCCGTTAAAAGAGTCAAACCTGAACTCACTGTAACATCTCTACATACCAAAATAAACAGCGGTTATTAGTTATAATCTAGTTATTGTAAAAAGTTTGCGACTTTTGTTTATTTTGCTAACCTTAATATCAGTGTTAATAATTCGTCATTGTGTTCAGTAATACTGTAAATAAATCTTCTCACTTGTGCTTTCTGTAGTGCTGTATATGTACCTACCTATTATTTAGTTAGTAGATCCTTAGATTAGTCCTCTGCTGAAAGTTTTTGTTGAAGCTGAACGAATTATTATTTGTAAATAAATTTTTTCAACTAACCGCCTTTACTTTTAAAAACCCCTTCCATAATTAATTATGAGCCTGATATTCAGAGACATATCCAAGAGATTAATTATTTCATAAGAACCTGAAATAATTAATTATTGCAGGAAGATTTTAAAACAGAATTGTTAAAAGAAGCAGAGGATTTGCAAAAAGATCGCGTTCAACTTCTTGAAGTTTTCTTGGAAACTGGGCCGTTTTCGTCATCAATTAATCCTAAAGATGCATTAAAATATTTGTCTGGAATCAGAGCACAACTCAAACTTATAAGGGAAAGAGAAGATCGCTTGCGAAGAGACTTGGGTATTTTCGACATTAGCTTGCCAGAATCAATAGAATTGAAAAGACTTGAGCAGGTAGATAAAAACAGTAATTCATGCCATACGTACAGTTTGTAACGGAAACTTGTTTGTCTCGTTTATATACGAGGGTGGATTGATAAGTTTCCGGCCTGACCAAGAAAAACAAGGTTTTTAAAAATTTTTTTTTTTTATTTCTCAACATAATCTCCTCCAAGGCTGATACATTTCTCATAGCGGTGTTCCAGTCTATTAATGCCATCTCTATAGACTGATTCGTCAAGCTCCTCA